TTTTTTTTTTTTTTTTTTTTTTGGCAGGGTTTTACGCTTAAAAGTGACATAAGATGGCAGCCTGTTTCTATCAGTAGGGATGCACAGCATTACAGTACAATATTGCTTTTCTGCTCCTATTGTTTGCACCAAAACTTTTTTTTTACCTGCCTGATTGACTATAGTGTCACTTGGCATATCAAAGAAGACAGGAGTTTTGTCAGCATTGCTATTGCCCCCAAGTTGTAACCATGTGTCTTTCTTAAGCTGAGGACATATTTCTGAAATATGAGCAGTTTTTCTTGGTAAGTGTCAGGAAGCCTTTGCATTGTTGAAATTTGATGCTAAATCACAAACTTGTGTCATGCCATGAAATGTCTTGCCCAGTCATAACTTGTTAAATTCACTTTTGATAACATTCAAATTTTGAACAATCCTTTGGGCTTTGAACTGAATCATTTCAACAGACACAGAAAATACATTTGCCTAAATTTCATGGATATATCTCAGATTTGCTTTCAGGTCAGGATATTTTGCTCTCTTTCTGCAAAATGATAGCTGATTTGTGAAGTTTTCTCAAGACCATCCTTTGTTTGAATCCATCATCACACTTTTTTCATCTACATCAAAGTTTCATCCTACTGCTCAAATTCTATTTTCTTGTGCATAGTGCACCACTTGCAATTTAAACTTCACTGTATATTAGGGCCACAAGTAGAAAATTGCAAAGCCAAACATTACAATATCAAGATGACATTTGTAATAACAAAATCTCAACAGAACTATCTAGAAGGATTCTCAATCATTACTTATACCCCTGTGAAATGAATGTTCCATCCTTGTACAGTACAATGTACAACTGTTTATTCATCTGGGAAATATTATTAATTAATTGAGAAACTGGAGTCATGTAATAGGCCTCCTGGAGCACCCAAAAATATTGGTTTCATACCATTCAATAAAAAAATTAAATCACAGCTGTTAATAATTTTCAATTACACATTCAATTAACAGTCAAAATATAAGTTTAATAGCACACCATTTAAATTTAACTTGTGTGTTTCAATTAGTAAAAATTAATGCTAAACATTTAAAAATAACATATGCCCTCCAATTAGAACATATTAACGTTAATGTTAAAATTCATATCAACATTCTAAAATTTGTTTTTGTTTCACCTGAAGAAGACATTCTATACATGTCAAAAGTGCTTGCAAAATATTTATATTTTGTGTTTTACTCATCAAAACCTTATTAATGTAGATGGACAGTACTGTTAAACTTTTATCTGATAAGAATCTGGCATGAAAAATTAATTATTTCTTTCAAACTTTTTATTGTTTGATATGTACACTTTCTTGACCATAAACTTAAATGTTTATGGTCAAGAAACTGTACATACTAAATTCAGTAAGTAGCATTTGGCCCAATTGTTCTTTCTACACAGAGCTCTAAACAATTCCCATTTAATTATAATCACTCTGCATATTAGGGGCAATTCTGATGTTTTATTAATACAATATTTTACCCTTGTGTTTCAATTTATTTAATAGTTCTTTATGTAAACAACACACACACATATAAAACAGAGTAAATTAATAAATATCTTTAAAAATAAGCAGATGCTGCTTAAATTGACCATTCAGACAATCTGATGTTTATGAAATTTCAAGGATCAAAGTTTGACATTTTCAAAGAAGTAAAATATTTGACTTTTTTGAAATATTTTATTTTCTGGTAACATAATATTCTCTTTTAAAAGTACCATTTTTTTTCTATAAGGAGTCTGCTTCTATTTAAACATGTCAGCAAAGCCATTATTTCTTTATGGTATTAGATATTTGTATAAAACTATCATTTCAATCTCTCACAGATATTAATATGAAATTAAAAATAAAATTAACATAATGCAAAATTTGTTCTGAATTCTACATTTTATATATATGTAACCTAGAATGACTAAAAGTGGATTGATTGGACTAATTATGACCCAACAAGGTGCAATGGAATTAACTATACATTGGGGAGACTATCCACATTTTGACAAGATAACTCAATTTTTTTCTCTTATAGAAATATTGCAGAGAAATTTGCATATATTGTCAGGATGATCAGCTAGTGGATGCTTTTCACGTGATAGCTAGGTGTACTAATTTAGAAAAAATTCGAGAAAGTGTTTTTGGTATCTCTATTATTCCGTTTGAGAATGTTTTGGACCTTATTGTGATCTTTTGTACGGAGTGTGATGTACATGTTTGTTTTTGCATATTGGAGTATCTGATTTTGCCCAAAGATGGCATTTGTTTTTGTCCTTTAAAAGTAAGTTCTTGTTTTATCATGTCCCAAGGCATAAAAAGGAAGACTTATTCACCGACTGTGCCGGAGAGAACACCAAGTAGACCTAGGAGTAGTAGTTACAGTCAAAACGAGGAGGTTTTTGAATTTTGACATATCCGAAGGTGTACGTTTATTATTGCGTATGCATGCTGCTCTTAATGGTAAGGTGGAGGATTTTATAAAGCGACTCGACCATCTTACGGAATGGCTTAAGAATGTGGATGAAGCACTTGTTGACTTTGAGGTTAGATTAGTTGATATCAAGGCCAGGATCAGTTCGGATGGACCGAAGCTGGTGAGTTCTTCTCTTATTGATAATATTAGTATGAAAGTGTTGAAAATTGAACGTGAGATGGATTACATGGATAATCAGTGGAGAATTAATAATATAGTTATACATGGTTTGGAGGAAGGAGCTGGAGAATCGGCAATTGATACATTAGAGGCAGTTAAATCTTTTGCTATGAATAAGTTGAATTTGCCTCTGTTGAGATATGTCAATGCTAGGCGAGTTGGTAAGAAATTTGGTGACAGGCCTAGAATAATAATTTGTCAATTTGGTTCTTTTAATGATAAGTTATCTTTTAAAAAATAGTTTTTGAGTCTTGTAATTTGAATGTATTTGTTAATGATGACTTTTCTCAACGATTAAGAGACATTAGGTATAAGTTAAGGATGTTTGGAAAACAGAAGAAATCGGAAGGTGCTCAGAAAATCCGTTTAACTTATGATAAAATATTTATTGATGGAGTGAAATACGAATATGATGAGGATTCGGGTAAAATTATTGTTGTTTCTCATAGCAACCACTGATCCAGGCTATCTCTATAATGGTGTGGAATTGTGCTGGTATTAAAAATAAGCTGAATTTGTTTTGGAAGTATATATCGCAATCTGATTTGATTTTTTTTTTATCTGAAACTTGGTATTCTTCTAAAAGTAATAAAAGTAACTTAGAAATTTTATTGGATTATAATTGTATCATTGGTGATGCTTTTAGAGACGGTTGTAGGGATAGATTTAAGGCTCGATGGTTGATATTTTTAAAAATTTGTTTTTGTTATAAAGTAATTTATAAAGATGATTTTTTGATTTTGATTAATATTATATTCCCTGTGGGTGAATTTTTGCTATGT